GCAGATGAAACGCTCCAGCGCCTCGACCTGCTGGGAGCGGCTCCTCCCAGCCTCTGAAGAGGCTGATGCTGCCGAGGAGTTTTCCATCCCTCCGGCTCAGGGGCCTGGAACGGGGCTGTTGGAAAAGAGGACAGAAGGGCCCCGTGAGACGCTGCTGGAGGGGAGAATGATACCCCACTTGGGAAATACTCTCAGCTCTTGGAGCATTTTCTCACTCACCACAGTATGGTGGTGCCCCGACAGCTTACGAAGTTGGTGGCCTCCTGCCTTTAGCTCGAGAGTATGCTGTGATCCCCACTGTGAGGGGAGGGAAGCAGAGGCCCAGACAAGGCAGGTAACCCGCCTCCCTGGCCTGCGTAGTAACTTGTGTGCTGGCAGGACTCAGGTCTCAGTGCCTGGAGAGGCAGAAGATAAACTGTGCCTCCCCCCATCCCCGCCCAGTTTGGGAAACCTACCACAAAGTGGAATCAAATTATGTCCCTGACACAAGAACTAAGATGTACAGGGGGTCCCCACACCCAAACTCTCTGAGGGGCCTTAGTTTCCAGGAAAATGCATCCCCTTTTTTTCAGTTTTTGCTACTGGTGCATGTGCTCACAGGAGAAAGAAAAGAGAGAGAGAGAGAAATGAGAAACCACCCCCCAGGAGGAGGGATGGCCATGCTTGCAATCCTTTCTCCCTTAGGATTTTGGATAAGCACACACATGTGCCTGGTGTTTTTTTTTTTTTTTTTTTTTTTTTTGGTTTTTTTTTTTTTTTGTTTTTTTTTTTTTTTTTTTTTGGTTTTTTTGTTTGTTTGTTTGTTTGTTTTTGAGAGTTTTTTTGCTATAGGGCGTGTGCGCTCACCAGACAGACAGAGAGATAGATAGAGAGACAGAAAGCGAGAAATCACCCCCCAGGGGGGATGGTCACGCCGCAATCCCTTCTCCTCCATTCTCCTCTCGGGATCTTGGGCACGCATGCACACGTGCCTGGCGTGAGTTCTAAGCCACTGGGTCTGGGACTCGAACCACGGTCAACTACGTGGGAGTCCAGCGACATAGCTATTACACTAACTGCTGGTCCCGCGCCTGGTGTGTTTTTCAAGTTGCCAGGTACTGGACTCAAACTCCACAGTCAGCCCTGTGGGATCCAGTCACCTTAACTAGCACATCACCTGGCTTGCCCCAAAATGCCACCATTAAAAGAGACTTTCATTTTTTCCTCTTTGGTCACCAGACCGCACCCTAAATTAAGGGAAGCCCACAGGCCTCAGGTCAGAAGCAGGATTCTGCAGTCTTATAGGAAGCACCCCTGGCTCACGTGCTGCCTGCACCCTGTAGGAATGTACCGGCCTTCACTGGTAGAACGAGGAAGGCTTGCTTGGTGGACTGTGCGGGTGTGGACTGGCACCCTCCATAGAAGCGTGGTCTCCGCCAGCTCAGTTCCCTCGCTCTCTCTGGAGTGATTTGGCACACACGACCAGCTGTGCCTGGAATATGGCCCAAAGTCCAGCGACAGAACTGTAGTCTAACCCCAAAGGGCCCAAGCCTGCTGGGTCACCTCTGCAGCTCTCTCCTACTTCCTTCTCCCCTGCAGCTCCCACCTGTCCAGCCCAGAGTGGGGAGCACTAGAATCTTTCCAGGCCAAGGGCCCTCCCCTTCTTCCAGGGGGCTCAAGGCCAGATGGAAGGGGCTTTAAAGCTTGTCCTGTGCCCCTTTTACTAACTGGAGATCTGTGCTCTTCACGGAAGATCCCACCCAGCTGCAGGAAAGAGAGCTTGCCCGTGGTCCCGTCACCTCAGCTAGCAGAACGGTCTTCCACCAAATCACCTGCATGCAAAAACCCACCAAACCACCCGCATGCAAAAGCCCACCAAATCACCCGCATGCAAAAGCCCACCAAACCAACCGCATGCAAAAGCCTGGACAAGTGTCTGCACAGGGCTCTCTTGAGAATGCTGCTGCTGCTGCTAAGACGAGGTCCAGGATGTTTAAAGGAACGCTGGCATTGCAAAAGCTTGGATCACTGAGAGTTTTGGAACACCATCATTTGCCAGTATCCAAGGGTGTATTGAGTGCTTAACTGCAATAGATGCAAAGCAGGGCACGTGTGGCCTGCTGAGCTCCAGAAAGGCCACTGAGGCTGTGAATGTGGGCCCCCTCACACTCTCACCAGACGGGGCTGGCAATGGTGAGAAGATCTGCCCAAGCAATGAAGAGCTGCCCTGGCAGGCATACATCTTCAACTCCCTTCCTGGCTCTTTTCTTGGCTTTTGGCTCCTGCAAGGGCCCCAGCCTTCCTGGGACCCCAGGCCAGCTGTGAGAGCTCTGAGGTGCTGCGGGAGCTAGCGCTGGGCTCCTGAGTTCAGTAGCCTGGGGACTATGGGAGCCTGTTCTAGAGGTTGGAATCAGAGGATTGGGGGTTTCAGGTCTGGGTGGTGCCCCTATCATGGCAAGGGTGGCAGCAGGTCTGCAGGGAGTCAGCACCCAGCACCTCTAGAGGTACAAGCCAGTCAGGGGTGGGGATGCCCAACACCTCTTCCTCCCTGCCATTCAAGGCCTACAGTGCCTTCCCATCTCCCACAACAACCCCCGCGCCACACCCCTGCTCTCCTGGCTGCCGGCCGGCCCTGGCTACTCTGCCCCCTTGTCCCAGGCACACGGCACAGGGAGCAGAGTTCTAAGCTGGGAGCACACCCCCTCCCAGTCACTCAATCAAACATGAATCTAGGTACCCGTGGGGAGGGATCTTGCAGACTTAATTAAATTCCAAATCGGCTGACTTTAAGATAGGGAAACTATTCAGGAAGGCCTGCTCTAAGCACGTGAGCTACTTAAATCTGAGACAAAGATCAGACAGAGGCAGAAGTCCAAAAGCCACAGCACAGGCAGGCTCCATGTGTTTCTGCTGGTTTGAGGGAGGAGGCACATGGCAAGGCATGCGGGTGGCCTCTAGAGCTGAGAGTGGTCCCCTTCAGCCACTGGCAAGGAAAGGGGCACACAAGTCCTATTGACAACCGCAAGGAAGTCAATTCTGCCAATGACCAATGGGCTTGGAGGCAGCCCCCCCCCC